GATGTAAACTTCAGAAGGCCCACTACGACTCACCCTCCCAACAGAGTTTGGTGGAGAAGTAGCAGAGAGCAGGCCTTTCCTGTTGTGCCCCCTCCACTTCCAGCCCCCTCCCTCATTGGTCCTATTCCACTCAGCCTTTTACATTCATTTACAAAAACATTTGGGGGAGGCGTTTAGTTTTTATAAAATGCTTTGTATTCTTTTATATCTGTACTCAATAATTTGCCCAGAATCCCCGATTGGGATATTAAAAACTGTAAGTAAGTAAATAAATGTTTTGTCTGAAATACAGTCCTCGACTTACAACAGTTCATTTAGTGACTGTTAGAAGTTACAACAGCACTGACAAAGGTGACTTATGGCCATTTGTTCACACTTATGAACACTGCAATACCCCATAGTCATGTGATCAAAATTCAACCGTTTGACAACTGACTCATATTTATAATGGTTGCAGTGTCCCCTGATGATGTGATCACCTTTTGTGATCTGACAATCAAAGCCAGTGGGAAAGTTATTTTATAACTGTGTTACTAACTTAACAACTGCAGTGATTCACTAAACAACTGTGGCAAAAAAGATTGTAAAATGGGGCAAAATTCACTTAACAACTGTCTTGCTTAGAAGCAGAAATTTTGGGTTCAATTTTCGTCATAAGACAAGGATTACCTGTATTACAGCTTAATACTGAGAGAAAGTTGATGACATTCAGCTGCTCCTGTTTGAATCTGCTTCTGTGGTCATTTTCAGTCACATAATAATTTTGAAGTACAACACAATTGTAAAACAATGTACCAAAATGCAATGTTTCAACAATGAAACATCCACATTAAGCAAGCGCAAACAAAAGTCTATTAAGTATAGATGTTTTCTACAAGAGTTACAGGATTTTGGCAAACTAGAATCAAAATGACAAAGTCAGCATTTTTTGACTTGGAAGCAAGTGTTTTTCTAATTTGGATACAATAAAAAAAAAAAACCCAGAAGCAACAAGATTCTACAAGGAAATGAGAGAAACAACATTGTGAACACTTAAAATCTGAACCTGAACACTGTAATATGCCCACAGCCTCCAAATGCAATTTCTAATTAAAAGAGCAATTTGAACCACATTTTCTCTATCCAAACTACCACATTAGTCCTACACTATAGCTTGGGAATTCTCATCTCTTGGATCAAGTACATCACTATAAAATTCAGATTGCAGTCCTAAGCACACTGACACAAAAATTAAAGCGATTACTAGATCAGGTTGACTATCATCTAATTCCGCATTCTAGATTACACTAGTGGTCAATCTGGTATTTAAGATCAGCTGGCCATAATTTCTGGAAACAGAACATAGAATAGTGTCATTAATAGGATGTACAGCTGTGATGTACAGAGGTCCAACCCCCTAAACTGGCCACAAGCCATCACATCGGAATACAACAGCTTCTATAACTTTTAACCATGGATTATGTAAACAAGTCCTTCTTTTAAATATTGTTGAATTTCCCCTATATTTGATTTTAATAAATAAACCTATGCTTTAATACTGTGAGGGTAAGAAAAAAATGTATGCTCATATCTTCCATAATTTTAATAATTTTATCTTTATCACATCTTATATTCACTCCAAGGCCACTGTCTTTCTTCACTTGGAAGGTGTTCTAGTCCCTTAATCATTTTGGACGCTTTTGTTGTGTCGTTTCCCGTGATACAATATCCCATTTTTCAAGTATTATGGCGACCAGGACTGCACATAATATTTCAAGTGTGGGCCACTTATACTATAGTGCTAGTTCATTTTTGGTTCCTTTAAGAATTTACTGGTTGGAACTTAACTTTTTCACAGTATCCATACTTTGGCTGATAATTACCTTGAGTTATCCAAGAATCTCTTCCTTGTCACTTATCACCAGCTCGGATCTCATCAATGTACATGTGAAATTTTTGAGAAAAAAATGTGCCAGATATTTTTTGCAATTGCAAACCACATCTTTCAATTATTTACCCACTTTGGAGAGATCCTTTTGAAGTTCCCAGAGTCTTCTTTTGATGTTACAACTGATATCACTTGCAAAACCAATTTTAAGTCCAAATAAATTAAAATTAACTGTCCGAGCATTCATTTGTGTCCATTTTAAATATCTAGGGCAGGACCTGCTCTTTTATTGTACAGTTTAAGATTTTATAAGAGCTTTGGATGAGGGAGACCAACAAAAGTTTTTTGAAATATCAAATATACAATTTGTTGAATATAACCAGCGCACGTGCTTGCTCACCTCTTTGCATGTTGGTTCTTTAGAGCAAGTTTGTTCTTCTGTATGTATATTTAATTATTGCCTCTTCAATAATGCTTTTTATCATTTACTTAGAAAGGCCAGTCAATCCTGTCTCCTCCCTACATCCTTTTAAAACCTGGAGTTAATGATTTTCTAGTTTTCAGAAATCGATGACAACTTTAAACAGATATATTTCTAATAGACTAATTCTTTAAGAACTTCCAAGTGGATATTGTTGTGACTCAAGATTTTTTTTTAATTTATCAATTGACAGCCAGTTTGGGGAACTCTTGAAAGCAGTTCAGGCAAGAAATCAGGCAAGAAAGCAAAAGACCATAATTCCTAGTCCTGTCCAGCACAAAGTCACCTGGGTGACCTTTGACCGGTCACTTTCTTTCAGCCCTAGGAAGGAGGCAATGGCAAATCACTTCTGAAAAAACTTGCTAAGAAAACCATAGGGACAAGAAGAACAAATGAGGGGACCTTGGTGCTCTCTGAGCTTGGTTGTTTTCTTGCATCCTCTAATGATGATGATGTTGGCTAGTTGGTAATGAAATGCTTGCAAGAAAAGAATTAAGCTCAGACAGCCCTAAGGACCCCTATTTCAACCGAGCTACAAATATCCTTCTCTATCGAAGAACAAACATCATTAGTTATCATGGGAGTCAGAAGAACTGAAATCTCAATTAGGATGTTAGCCTTAGGTCATCTTAATTGGCATGTAATGGCCAAACATACCATTTCAAAATGTTATTCTAAATATTGAGTTACCTCAATCTCAATTTAACCACAATTCACTCTAACAGTTATACTTATGTATCAGTGCCTCAACAAGCATCCAGTTTGGGAATTCAATCTACATTCCACTAATTTTCCGCCATGTGACATCAGCCAAATTTATTTTTTTTATCCCATCTTTATAGCTTTTCTAAATAACTCAAAGCAGCAACCATACCTAACAATCTTTCCTCCACCTATTTTCCCCACAACATCCCTGTGAAGCCAGTTGGGCTAAGAGTAACTGGCCCCAAGTCACTCAGTTGACTTTCATGCCTAAGGCAGGACTACAACTCCCAATCTCCATGTTTCTAGCCTTATTGCCTTAACCGCTAGACCAAAATGGATGCTCTAGCCAACTAGTCCCAAACTTACAAAAAGATCACCAAAGGAATATGAAACAGCACCACTTAACACAAAAGCCATCCAAGTGTTCATTTATTGCTTTACGTGGGAATCTTATGTATGAACACTAAATTCCCAACCACGCTTAAAAACATGGTGTAATATTATGTCCATTCACTTACAAATGACACCCACTAGATCTTAGCTGTTTTCACACATTACACTAATTTACAAAGTACAATGCTTGGGTTTACAGCAGTGGTTCTCAACCTTTTTAATGCCGCGACCCCCAACCAGTCGTAATTCGAGGACTACTCAACGGGTGCAGCACCGTTTGCAGAATGGGACTGTTGGCGGGCTCAGCAGGGCAGAGACAGCCTGGACAATTCCTATTGGCTTTGGAAAGCCAATAGAATTAGACTCTATTCAAGAGAGTCTATTCTACTGGCTTTCAAAAGCCAATAGAATAAAAGGGAGTAGCACAGCTAAGGAAAAGGGGGGGAAAATGGTGGACTGCGTTGTTTGGTGACCCCCGTGAAATGGTCGTTCGACCCCAAATGGGGTCCCGACCCACAGGTGGAGAACCACTGGTTTACAGGATCCAATGATCAAAATATATACCTGTTTTATCAGCTGTACCGCTTATCCAGTTTTGATCCTTTAACAGGAATATTCTAAATATTCCAAACTGCTGGGAATTTGTTGTAAATATTCCAAACTGCTGGGAATTTGTTGGACTACAGTAGTCTGCAGGTTCAGTAAATAAACAATAAAATTAAGCTACATTATGGCTTAGTGTGAACTGTGGTGTGAATCTGTAAGAGTTCATCATAAAGAGGCATTAACCGAATGGACAGTGCTGCCTCTCCTCCTAATTGCGATGTCGGGGAGACATCAGGCCAACCGGGCCATTGTGAGACACGCGCAAAGCTGGAGCCCCCTTTTATCCCCGAGCAAAGCCTCGGGCAAGGTGGCCCCCCAGCCAGGCCGACTGCCATTCGGGGCAATCCCGGGGCCGCCCTCTCTTCTCTCTCCCCACCCACAAGCGCCGCTCCGGGCGGAAGGGCAGGGAGGCCCCGGGAGGCGGCCATAAAAGGGGCGCTTGGCCTTTCCCCGAGAGCAAAACGGGTGAGCTCACAAAGAGGCGGCCGCCGCCGCCGCAGCCCGCTGCGCCTTGCAGGTGGGACGGACGCTCGGATGCTCCGAGCCCGGAGAGATCGGCGGCTTGCGGCGTCCGGGGCTTGACCCGATGCCCGCCCAGCCTGTCTGGCAACCCGACACGCGCGCACACGCGTTCACACACCACCCAGCACACTCGCGCGCGGCCTCCTCCATCCTCCCCCCCTCCCTCCCTCCCCGACAGGGCGCCCCCGAATCGGCCGCTTTGCAAGCCCGCCCGCCCCGGGCCCCGAATCGGCCCGGCGCCTGCCCGGCCAGGTCCGCTCGAGGCCCAGACGAGCCCGGGGGTCTCGCTCGGCCCCTTCTCCTCGAGGGGACAAAAGCCCCCGGGCCGGCTGTCCCCCTCCCCGCCCACCGGACCGCGGCGCCCGGGGAGCTCCGGACGGCCCGAGAGGGAAGGCTGCGAGCCGGGGCTGGGCCGGCGAGGCTCACCAGGAGTAGGTCTGCTCCGCCATGGCGCCGGCCGTTCTCCCTCCTCGTCTCGTCGTCCTCCTCCTCCTCCCGCGCTCGGCTCCCTCCGCGTCTCGCGCTCAGCGGCGGCCCGGCTGCGGCTCCCGGCCCATCCTGGCGGCGATGGCGGCGGCGGCGGCGGCGGCTGGGAAGGCGGTCCCCGCCCAGGCGGAGGCGGCGATGCCTCAGCGGCGGCCGCGCCGCACAGACCCAGCCGCGCTCCAGCGCCGGCGGACGTGCCTCATAACCGAGCGGGAGGGCACGGCGGCGGCGGCGGCGGCGGGCGCAGGAGCGGAGCGGGCCGGGAGAGCTGCGGAGGACAGGCCGCTCGCTCGCTCGTTCGCTCTCGCGCGGAGGGGGCGGGGCTCGGCGGGCCGGGGGCGCGTCGCCTACGCACGCACGCAGGCACGCACGCCATTCACATCACGTGGCCCAAACAGGCTCACGTGCCTCGGCGCAGCGCGTCGGGCGGAGAAAGGGACGAGCGAGGAGGCCCCGCCCACCCGGCTGCGCGCGCGCCCCTCGCGGAGTCGCCTTGGCGACCTACGGCGCTTGCGTGGATTCTTTCGCAGGCGTATCGGAGGGGAGCGCGGGGTTCCGTGCCAATCCCGTCCGGCGCCGAGTCGCGTCCCTGACCGCGCCGGGAGCAGCGGGACGCCGCTATCTCTGGCTTTCCGGACAGCAGAATCCCCCTGGCATCGTCCTTCCTGTGTCCAAACAAAGCCAGGCCGTGTTTCTCTCCCTGCTGGCTGGGGAATTCTGGGAGTTGAAGTCCACTCACCTGAAGGGCGCTGAGGAGGTGGAGAAACGGCGACCTGCAGAGGCCGCCCGGGTGGCTGTTGGCCGCTTGGAGCCCGGCCGGGGAGCTGAGGAAGAGACCGCCGGCCCCGGCCGCCTCCTCCCTGCGCCTTTCCCCTCGACGGGCGTGCTTTCCTCCCGCTCAGGTCCTGCAGTTGTCTCGGCCGGGCTTTTCAGAAGCGGTTGGCCGTTACCGTCTTCCTAGGGCGGAGAGTGAGTGGCTGGCCAGCTGTCCAACTCTCAGCGACTTTATCAATGGTTTGCCGACGGTTAAAAACATCAAGAAAACGTTTTTCAAAAGTGCCATGAGCCACCATTGCCTGCTTCCCGGGGCTAAGGGAGAGTGACTGGCCCAAGGTCTCCCAGCTGGCTTTGTGCCTAAGGCAGGGGTAGGCAAGCTTGGCTCTTTTATGACTCATGGACTTCAACTCCCAGAATCCCTGAGCCAGCCTGGCTCAGCTTGGAAACCTCTCCCTTTCCCCTCAGCATGGCTGGCTCAGGAATTCTGGGAGTTGAAGTCCACCAGTCATAAAAGAGCCAAGGTTGCCTACCTCTGGCCTAGGCCTAGGTCACTTTATGACTCATGGACTTCAACTCCCAGAATTCCTGAGCCAGCCATGCTGAGGGGAAAGGGAGAGGTTTCCAAGCTGAGGCATGCTGGCTTAGGAATTCTGGGAGTTGACGTCCACCAGTCATAAAAAAGCCAAGGTCGCCTACCCCTGATCTAAACTCATCAAATCATGATCTAGATCAGGGTTTGGCAATCTTGGCTCTTTGATGACTCATGGACTTCAACTCCCAGAATTCCTGAGCCAGCCTGGCTCAGCTTGGAAACCTCTCCCTTTCCCCTCAGCACGGCTGGCTCAGGAATTCTGGGAGTTGAAGTCCACCAGTCATAAAAGAGCCAAGGTTGCCTACCCCTGGCCTAAGGGAACACTAGGTGAGAAAGGAAGAAGTTTAAAAATAAAACGGTCACAATTGATTAAGAATAGAAAGATTAGCCAAGCCCTGCAGGTAGGCCCTGGATTCCAGGAGGCTTGGCTAGAAGACACACTCAACGAGACAAAAGGATGGCAGAGGGAAGTTCTAACCCAGGGGTTCTTAACCTGGGCCATATTGCCTCCCAGGGGGCGATTTCATTTTTCAGGGGGGCAATGGAACGAAAAGGGGCGACACGGGGGCAAAGGAATGAAAAGGGGGTGATGGAGTGAGATGATTTGGGGACACCTTTGAGACTTTTTCGTACAGTGAATCGCTGTATATCTGTCATACAAAAACATCAGATCGCTTGCTATTAGTGGATTGAATTGTGTTTTCAAATGTTCCTCCAGCCAGCTTCAGTACAGAACACCCTACATATGTAAATATGCATTGCTTATCTTCATGCGCGTTGCGCAGCAGCCTCTACCCATACAGTGGTACGCCATTGGCCAGAATATGGGAGATATGGGGAAAAGACTGGAAATAAATTATTTGCATCGATATGTCCTGATGACAATTTTAAAGAAAACAAAAAAAGGGTTTGCATAAATTGAAGAATTATTTCCTATGTTGTGATTGAGAGGTTATGTTGGGGGAGGGGGGCGATGACAACTTCCTCACTGGCTCAAGGGGATGATTCGTTCAAAAAGGTTGAGAACCACTGTTCTAAACAATGTAACGGGGAGGGATGATGTATTCTGGCTAGGCGGATCGGACAGATTATGCCCCCAGAAGTCCTCTCAAATGGGACCTAAGGGGAGGAGACGGGGGCGTCGCGATAGGAGTGTATATAATGTTATCAGTTTGAATATTTTAGTGTGGTCTCTGGGTTTAGAACTTCCTGTTGAAGTCTCTCACCAGGATCCACCGCGCTTTGCAAACCGCTTTTCTATTTTCTGCAGAATAAACTCTTTCTTACCAATCCAATTTTGTTGGTATTTTAATCACATTTCCAACAACTAGAATTCACAGACTCCCAGTCTGTGGTTCGACGTCTTCACCACTGTGCTAAGCTGGTTCTCACGGGATTTGGTCTGGCAAAACGCTGCTGGAGTGCTCAGATTTGGCCAAAGGGGCAATCAGTGTGGAGCCCATGTGGCCCAATGGTTAAGGCACCAGGCTAGGAACTAGGAGACTGCGAGTTCTAGTGCTCCCTTAGGCACAAAGCCAGCTGGGAGACCTCGGGCCAGTCACTCTCCCTTAGCCCCAGGAAGTAGTCATTGGCTGATGGCACTCTTGATTAAATGTTTTTAACCGTTGGTAAACCATTTATAAAGTCGTTGAGAGTTGGACAGCCTATAAATTTAATAAATTATTTGCCTAACAATGGCTCTGCATCGGTCTGGAAGGAAGTGTCAAGCGGCATGCCACACATCTGTTGTAGGTCTGCAATGTAACATATTAATAAATGACTTGGAGGAGGAGTTAGGAAATATGATCTATCTAGTTTGCAGATGAACCAAATATTTTCCTTTGAAGTCATCTTTGGTTCATTAGAACAGGGGTCCTCAGCCTTGGCTTCTAGGAGTTGAAGTCCACAAGTCTTAAAAGTTGCCAAGGTTGAAGACCCCTGCATTAGAAGGCGGTATCTAGTTTAAGCTACAAGTAATATTTATTTGGTCAATGACCAGCACAAAATAGAGACAAATAGAAAATAAGTTTAAAATTCAGAGGATCTTGGGATGCTGAAAGATTGAATGGAAACCAGCAGAATGAATTCCAACAGGAGCAAATGCAAAATTCTGCATTTGCATAGAAAATAAAGGCATGGATGTAGCATGGAACCCTATGGTCCGCTGTACATGTCGAAGAGAATTTGAATCCAAAGGGTGATCCCAGGAAATAAATCCAATCCCAGGCTGCATTAACTGGTATTGATACCTTCCAATCCATAGGGTTTAAAACTCAATATATTAATCCCTGATATTTCAGCCTGTTTGATCAAAGAATAGCAGCAGTGCAGATCTGTGCATAGTGCATCACACAAAAAGCATCTAAGTCAGGAATTCTGGCCGTGGAATTCTGCCTCAAGGGCAGCCCCAGCCTGACTGGCATCTAATCCAGGGAAGCAGGTTCAAACCAGACCTCAGGCAGAACTTCCTGAGGGTTCAAGCTGCACAAAGGGGTGAAATCTACTTTTGTGGGGTATCTTCAAGCAAAGGCTGCTGGTTTTAAGATGTGGTTTTGATCTTATTTGTTTGTGTGGTTTTAAGTTTGTTAGCCCCCCAAAGTCATGTTTACAAGACTGGTAGCTGTATAAATTAATACATTTGCCAAATATTCAGTGAATCCTAGGCCAGCCTGCTTAGATTAAATGACTTCTAAAGCATCTTCCAATGGCACAATTCACCCTTGAACTCCCCAGTGCATAAACACAGCTTTGCTTATGTTGTTGCTGATTGTGAAGAGATCTGAACAATTAACCAGTAATATGGCTTGCCTTCAGAAGTTGACAGTGCTCCATCTCCGGAGAATTTCAAGGAGAGATTGGACAGCCACTTGTCTGAAATGATCTAGATCTCCTGCTTGAGCAGGGGGTAAGACTAGAAGACCTCGAAGATCCCTTCCAACTATGTTATTCTATCTTCTACATTCTAAATCAATTCCTTTCAAAGTCCTAGCCAGATTTTGTTTGCATTCCTAAATGCCAATAAGGCTATTTCGGAGAATGGGACAGTGATTAAAAAAAAAAAAGACTGCCTTAACACATTTCTTTAAAAGAGGGACCCTGGATAAACTCCCTTCTTCAATCTCGTAGCACAAGCCCACTTTAAAGGTGACAACCAACACCATGAATTGTTCCCGGAGGCGAAACAGGTAAGCATTACAGCTCTCAAAGGGGTTGTGTTCCCTGGACGAAATCAAGGTGCAGCCAGTTGCAGCTTCCAAGGGATCTCCTGTCAGGCCCAAAGCCAAGAATGACACATGGCGATTCTTCCGAGCTGAGTATTTCATTATTTTGTGTCTATAGACAAAATCTTGCCAGATTGAGGATTCTACTATCTGTATGTACCACCTACTCTGGGAAGGGTATAAGAAAGTATCTGACAAATATTTAATAGAATATTTTTTTTGTCTTACAACACAAGATTATAATTGTGAAAGCAGCAAGATTTAAAAAAAAATAGAAAAGAATTGCAACAAATGGAAGATGGGAAGTGGTCACTAAACAAATGGTTGCAAGTTGAGAACTGCGTGTATTCAAGTAGTTGGGTTTGCCAACACTAAACTACTATTGTTTTAACTATGTTCTGTGAAATAAGCTGCAAAGATTCATATGGAGCGCTGCGCCCTATATGGCAGTTATGAACCCAGTGAGCAGAGACTAGCACATGTTGTGCCTTCTTGCTATGTAGAATCCTGCTGCTGAATTTAGGAAGGGTTGGGGAGGGGGTTCTCAACCTTAGCAGCTTTAAGATGAGGGAACATCAGCTCCCAGAATTCCCCAGCAGCCATACTGACTGGGGAATTCTGAAGTTCACTCATCTTGAAGTTGCCAAGGTTGAGAAATACTAGGTCAGAGGGACAGAGGAAGTCTTAATGTCTTGCTAGTTACATTTTGCAATCCTTTTTTTTTTAAATAATTTTT